ACAGATCACACTCGGCTCAAGGAATACGGCTTGACATACAGTTTACAAAACAATGCAAAATTGAGATTTTGACGTGAAAGATGAAAGCCGGCAAGTAATTTCTTCACAACAAATCATAAATCCAACAATAACACATGATAAAGCATAGCTATGCGTATAGAAAGAAATCCTGGTAAATGATGGCAGTTTCACCGTCGGGCTCGCCACTCCCAATCCTCTGGCAGATCACCTCGTTTTGCTACACTATTCGGATCTGGAGAAGATAGTGTTTCATGTTAATGGCATAAGTCTATCGGAACCAATATAAATCGATTTGAATGGCTCACCCCTCATCTCATGCTGACATGTGGGCCCAAATACCCTGGAGCACAACTGCATTTGCCCGTTTTCCGGTTGCATGTGGCGCCGTTGTAGCACTGGCACTTATGGACACAGTTCTCTCCATATCGACCTTGTCGACACACTGGAAATACATTATTGCAACAGATGTTGTGGTGATGTGTGTTAGGGTGGGCAGGATAAAAATAATAAGTTGGGCTGCGACCCTCTTCACCACCCTCGCCATCATGGTCGCTGTTTCTATAGTATTTAATTTCTGAGACCAGTCGACATACCCTCCACCCACTTCTCCTCCAAAACAGCCGTCGAGCGAGAGGGGGGTATACCCACCTACAATCTCAACAACCCCCCTCCCCCTGGTACTTGCCGCTACATAGGATTAACCCTGGTTCTGACACGTGCGTAGCATGGAGCTCTAGCATTATTGAGCAGCAACTAAAACTTCTGCTTTGATTACAGCCTTCCAGTGAATACTTTGTCCATCACGAGGATTGAATACTCCTCCTTTGCTAGTCTACACATTTATGTCCCTGACTGCCGTACTTTTCAAACCATTCCGTGTATTTTGGATTCTAGCACCGCCCACCGCCATGCACTCACCAGTTCCCCTTTTCCGGTGTCTGGCTGTGTCGGAACCGAATTGCAACGTTTACCAGCACCCATTTAAATTTATGTCCCACCCACCAAAGAACATGGTCCCTCTCCTTCGCGAACCGTGTCCACTTTCATTGCATTCTCAGAATCGTCTCTGATACGACTCACGATTCGCGATAAACTCCGCCCATATCGGCGAAATCTACTGATGGCATTCCACCTTCCCTCTCTTGCTAAGCTATGCAACCTTCTCTCCCAGTCTCTGGGCCTATTCGGAAATGGTCATGAGTTTTTGTGGAAAACCCCACCCACCTGGAAAGACATCCATTTTGGAGTGGTCTCCAATTCGTTGTGCTATACTCTTCCAAAACTTGGGAACTTTCAAATCATTTCTTTTGCTTTGTAGACTTCCTTATAACTATTTTATGAACCCTTTTACCAAGCACTTATTCAGGGATCAACCGCAGAGAAGTATCCCTGATTCCATCTGAAAATTCGGTACACTCATACACCCATTTTGTCCCGATCTTCAGATTGTGATAGAGTCGAACTTGGAACGTTTGCACTGCTGCACCCGTTTCTGGCCATGCCGCCATGAGCGGGGCTCCCTTTTAGCTGTGCGTTGTATAATTCTTTGACCAATACTCCGCCCTATCCTAAACTTTACCACTAACCCAGACGTTCCAGGTAGTTCTTCAGGTGATAACGAATCTTGTGACAAATACACACATACGTAAATACATACACACTTACTATGTACTATATGCATTTGTACACATACGACTCAGCGCTTCACATAAAGTACGTATAATAAGTGTCAGTGGTGATTTTAAGTACAAGGATTTTATGAATTTTGAACGATTGTGACTAAATGAATACCTTGCTTGCATTTGGGTCCACTCAACCCAACAGGACACAGGCAAGTGCCGTCTTTTGGATCGCAAGGGTAGTCGCCGCAATCACAATTGATTGACAATTGGCATACGTGGAGTTTTGCAGATGATTCACACTGAAATCGCGTAAAGTTGGCTGACTGTTTACTGAATATCACATTTACAAAATTTTATTGAGACTCGACTAAACCATTCCAATGCAGGTTAACAAACATTTTTTCACATGATCGTCACTTAAAGGCAAACTGGTGCTACTATGAGCGCTTCGTAGTGATAGCTTAGCTGCGGAACGACCTGAAAGTGGGAAAGCAAGAGAAATCTTTGGGAACGCTGAAATTAAGGCCTTAACCTTCAATAAGGTCGGATGTGGTACGATGGCGAGACAGGGCGGTCAAAGAAGACAAAATACGCGAGAGAGCACGTCGTTTGAGAGAGCACGCTGATCTCTACATCAATGCACGCTGATCTCACCATCTCTCGCGGTGGGTGGGAAGCGTTTCGATGGTTGCAGGCCCGTAAGGATTAGCGCCCTAACCGCGCAATTTTTGCGACCAAGCTGGAGTGATCTAGGTAGGTACGGACCTTACAATTTCCCTCGCGGTATCCTTCCTACTAGTCGGGCTAATCCCGGAGTTTGCCTTAGCGTAAACCCGCTTTCTTCTTTGCACGTGTGTGGTGTATGGTCCAGGGTACAAAAAGCAATGTTCTAGGCAAAAAAAATCAGGAGAAGAACAGCTTTCGTAACGCGCTTCCTGTACAGGAGACGGTAGGAAGGGCGGGACTTTTATGTTTGAGTTTCCAAAGTGAGGGTTTCACATCGCCAGCATTTGTGGCAGTTTTGCGGTAAGATTGTAAGTTTCAAGGTTTGGCATAAATATGTGACTAAATAGTTGTAGTCAATTTTTAGCCTTCAACTTTCTTGAAAATACGTCCAGTTTGATATGAGAATACTCGACGATTTGAAAAGTATCCCGAATGCATGAAAATGTCTGGATTGATTTGCGAGAGTTTAACGATCATTTGAGAAACTCCGCTCCATTAAAAAATGTTCTGAATCGTTTGAAAAATGTCCCTTAAAGGCAGCGATTACGATAAAGAGGGAGCGCATCGGGGAAGCATATGCACCACACGAATCAGTTACTTGGCTGCCAGGGAAGCGAGGTGTAGCGCTTTCACGACGAAAGGTGCGCTGGTTGCTGAGCAGGACTTCGAAAGCACTCCGCCCACTAGTTTAGTTGGTGATTTGGACGAGCTGCGTTGCCAGCAGCGGCACAACTGGAGCAACTCGATTGGAGCGTGGTTTGGCATGGTGTTACCAAACGCGTTGCGCTGAACTCGTTCATACGTCCGCTTTCTGAGCTGTCGCCT